AATATAAGATAAATAAATCAAGCAAAAAAAAGAAAATACTGGAGGCTTTCTTAGGTCGGTAACCACCAATGTTATATTCATCATCTTCTAAAATAGAAACGAGTTCACCCAACTGTCTTAACTTTTTGGGGGATTTTTTGTAAATGTAATGCATTTTTAAAATCATGTAATCAACGTCATTGAATGAGGCTGTTTTTCCTAATTTTTCTTTTAATGATAACTCGAGACGATGTGCTACACACCAGCCAAACGTGATCCAGGGGATTTCAGCCTTGAGCAACATTTTAACGCCCGACTTGCTCCCTCTGTTAACGGATGCGCCATCCGCACCAAATCCAACTAGTTTTTTATTGCAATTTACGACTTCTATATTCTCGAGTGACTTTTTTATGGTGTTGAAAACTCTGTGCAAAGTTCCATACTCAACATCCAAAAGTGAAAGAAAATCACATTCAACGTTTACTTCAGATTTTCCAGTTGGAGCCGGATTAAAAGTAACGGCAAATATAGCTTCTTTTTCCTTAATTGAAACGTTGTTAGAACCGTCAATTAAAATAGTGAAAAAATTTCGAGTATTTAGTTTATTTTTGAGATCTATCGCTAAACTAAGAGCAATGTAGTCAATAAATACTCCGCATGTGTTTTCGTTTTTATAAGCCTGACCAAAAACTACACCATGTTTCTCTTCTAATTGAATTATTTTTGGGTATAGGCAAAGCGATAGTTCTTCTTTTGCTATAAAGTAAGCGACCTCAAATTTTTTTTTTGTCAAATCCAAGTCTTTACTATTCATGGTTTGAATACCAGATAAAATGTCTGTTTGCTGCATTTCCTGCTGCAACTCCTTTAGTTTTTCAATTCGATCGCACAAATTCATGCCTCTCGTTTTCATAAAAATCTCAAAAGCCTTCTGATGAGACATTCCCTCTGCATGCGTGATTGCAGAACTATGTTGCAATCGACTACATCCTTTTCCACAGCTCCATTCCGGAGTGTAGCCTTTTAAAATCTGAATTTGCGATGCATATTCTCGGCATACTTTGCATTTTAGCGCTGTAACTATTCCGTCAACGCTTTCAATTTCAAGCCAATCATTATCATTATATATTGCAAGCGTAGAGACTTTCCATTTATTAGCTGTTTGTAATTGTAGCTTTCTGTCATAAGTTTTTAGTTTTTTCTCAGCGGGTGTTCCAGATACTAAGTTTCTTTTAAAAGAAATAAATGTTTGACGCTTTTTGTATGCTTCCATTTTAAGATTATTTTTAAACTTACCATTTAATTTCTAAAAATTTAAAACAAAAACTGTTTCTTTCAATTTAAATTGTCACGATGATTTCAAAATGAAGTTTTCCAACGAATCACAAACTTGCTTTGTTCATTATTTTTCAGACAATCAAAGAAATGTTAACCTTCCTAGTTATTAATTCATTTTATTCAAATGAATTCGCTTTATTAAAATAATTCTTTTACAGTTAATAAACTTTCGAACTGAAGACTGTTACGAAATCAACGCTATGTTTATTCCACCAATCAAAAGCATTATTAAGTTATTTACAATAAACTTCGCGCTTCTTTTTAATTACCATTTTTAATGTGAACTAAAAGATTATTATTGGTCTAAAAACTTGTTTAATTCAGAAATAATGAACATATTTTTTTTAATGCTAATTTAATAAATTTAAGATTCTTTTTTAAATGTTAAAAAATTTTTTATTCTAATGTGTGACATGCAATGTAGACGATCAAATTTGATCGGCCATAATTAATTTTGGGAGTTCAAAATTTCATTTTTTCCAAAAGTCGACGATCATTGATCGTTGATCGGCCGTTATTTCGAGCGCTGTGCTGCTACATCGACTGAGGGTTTGGTATGGGTCAGCAACATTTTCATTCATTATTCTTCGTTTTCCCTCATCGTTTTCTAAAAACGCTCACTTAATTTAGGCTAGCAAAAAAAGTGAGCAATTGCGCATATAAATATGCTATAGTAGATATATATATATATATATATATATATATATATATATATATATATATATATATATACATACATATATATATATACATATATATATATATATATATATATATATATACATATATATATACATACATATATATATATATATATATATATATATATATATATATATATGCATACATATATATATATACATATATATATATATATATATATATATATATATATATATATACATATATATATATACATACATATATATATATACATATATATATACATACATATGTATATATATATATACATACATATATATATACATATATATATATATATATATATATATATATATATATATATATATATATATATATATATATATATATATATATATATATATTTATATATATATATATATATATATATATATATATGTATATATATATATATATATATATATATATATATATATATATATATATATATATACATATATATATATATATATATATATATATATATATATATATATATATATATCAAATATGTATATACAGTGGCTTTTTTTTTCTCTTAGAACAACACCTGAACAGCATTCTGGCTTCTTTTTTTTTTTTAGAAACTTTTTTTTTCTTCGTATTTTTAATCAACTTAGTTTTTAAATACTTAACATTTTTAATTCCATAAAAACTTGTATTTAAAATTCTTTACATTGAAAATTTAAATGTGGGTCATGAAGATGGTAAAAGAAGCTAAAAAAGAAACTCTTTCAAACGATATTTTAAAGTTTTTAACGCTAGAGAAAATTTTCACAGTAAACGTTTCTCAAACTTCGTATAAAGTTAGAAAAGGATATCAGTCCTTTAATAACTTTGAAATGGAAAAATTGATTTTTAAGAAAATAACAGAGTTAAATTAGGCCGTAATCTTCAATCTAGAAGGGTATACATTAAAATTGTCAATCATATAGGTAACAAAATAAGGAAAAAATTATTGCAGAAGTCATAAAATTAAAAAGTAAGATTTCGTTAATGATTGATGAGTCAACCACTACAAACCAAAAATTGACACTCATAGAGTACGCTTGTTGTTATGTAAAGTGCAGTGAAACGAATTCAACAATCAGTTTTTTTTTTGGATTTAGTGGAACTTAAAAGTGTTATGGCTAAAGAAATATTTGATGCTTTATTAAAATATTTCTATTTTTATAGGATGACAGAAGAATATTTGTGGAATTATTTTGATTCTGTGAAATGTGATGGCGCAGCAGTGATGTTAGGATGCTCAAATTAGATAAATTTTTAAATTAGCTCAATGGGCTCACATCTTAAACCAAAAACAATGGCTTGAAAATATTAACACTCTGGTAAAATTTGGAGAAATGGAATAAAGAAATCTCTCAGTAAGACTACAATTAAATGAAAGAGAAATGGTTTGTGGATTCCATGAATACTTTTTAGAAAAAACATATCCTTAAAATTTAGTTCATTTGGTACACACTATACATACCATCCCTATTTCTGCAAGTAAATGCAAAAATGTTTAGCAATGCCAAAGAAAAATCATCTAATGCAACAATTTTTTTATATTTTATACAAATTAAGATAAAATAATAAAACTTTGAATTATCTTGATATTAAATATCATATATCTAGAAAAAAATGTAGTTTTCTGGCTTTTTTAAATGGCCAATAAAAAAGCAAGATTTCAAACAAGCAGTTTTGCAAAAAGTGGATGAAAGAAAAAAAGAAAAGTTTGAACGAGAGTGCTTGTACTATCATTTTTAAAAGTAGTTATTTAAATTGTCTACCAAGCAACTTGTTGATTTAGATGACATAATGTTAGACAGAATATTCGGACTAAAACTTTGCTAATAATGATATAAAAATAGTATTCTAATTCTTGTGTATAGTGGGGGAAAAACCTAATAAAAGAAAACAATAGTGAAGGCCCCTCTTCCATTAAAGAAAATTCAATTTATGGCTTCGAAGCTCAAAAGCCAAGATCAAGTTTTTTTTTTGAAAGTTTTTCATTCAGCAATATATAATTTTTTATTTTAAAAATTTTTTTGGTATTTTAATTTTTATTTTTCATTTTCTGTGGTTGGGAGACTCTAGGGTGTGTTTAACTATCACCACCACGTCCTCCTGCAACTTAATGATACAATTATTTTATTTGCTTATAATTTAGAATCAAACTTTGGAAAATTTTTGATGAAAATATTACAAATTTTGTAAAAAAAAACATTCTTTTATGAAAAAAAATTTTGACAGTTAAGGTGGTGGTTTGGCAACCCCTCTGTTCCCCAAGATATGCCTAGTGGGTAGAAACCAATACAGGCCCATAGGAACAAAAATTATATTTGTTGGGGGGGGGGGATAATACTAGGTAGGTCAAATAGTAGTATGTTAAAAATTTATATTAGTTCCTCTCTATCCTTTTTTTCTTTTATTTTTTAATTTGTAATTGCTTGCTTTTTTCTAAAAACTAACTTCAAAATTATTAATTTGAAAAAAAATTATTGGGGGGAGGGGAGGCAAATGCCCCTGCTGTCCTTCTGGTTGGTATAGGCCTGCAACATAAATTTGTAGCCCAATGTTACACCTATCTTTTGATACCAAGTTATTTGTATTTAAATAAGCATTGAAAAAGTTATAACAATTTAGATAAATAAAAACTAAATTTTGACAATTTCTTCAACTACTCCGTGTATAAAAAATTTTGTACTTAAAACCTCATAACTTTTTGCAGAATTACATACCTATGTTGAAGAGCCTGTTTTCATAATAAAAAGAAAGTTTTTTTCTGCTATTATTTGCCTTAAGATTAAATTTAATTAAATTAAAAATTAATAATTAAAAATTAATAATAAAAAAAATTAAATGTCAAATAATAATATTTATAATCATAAGACAAATTATACTATAAAAAAAGCTTCACAACATCTGTAAATATTTTCAGGTACGACTTAACAAACCACTTTTCTGATATTATTTTTATAATTTTTAAAACATACCTTTTTAATTTGTTTTGGACTAAATCCACCAGCATGTCTGCAATTATGGACATAATCCCAAAATTCGTTTATTAGACTTTGGCAACCAGCAAGACTTTCAGCAGTTTCCCATGAACTTTCCCATTTAACTTGATACAACTGTTGCCCATTCTATGTATTTAATAAAATAAAGATATTATTAATAGCATATCAATAATATAAATAAATAGAACATTAATTATATAAATAAACTAAAATAGGTAACAAGAGATTCGTATTTTGAGCATTGGTTGCTATTGGTAATTAACCACGTGATGTAGAAGTCAATCATGATGTATTTAACATAAAAAGCAAATATTAAATAGCTAAGTTTAGATACCTCATTCTTACAGTCAACAATTTTTTTAACACGTGGCATGGCTTAATTTTAAATTTATTGATAACAGGTCTTTTCGATTTTAACTTTTTAAAACACGCTCGGATCAAGTTTTATTGGTCACATATTATAAAACTAAAACCAGTAACTTTATTTTGCATTTACCTTAGGGAGTTTGTCCAATAATTAAAATATCAAACTAAAAAATTTTAGTTTGTTTTTAGCGCTTTTTCACCCCATTTGTTGGAAAGCCCGCGAAAACATTTAACAGTTCTTTTTGTAGTTAAGGTGTTTTTTTAAGAAATTGTCGTCAGTTTGTTATTAGTTTAAACAATCAAGATATTTTTGTAAAATATCTAGTCTGCAAGATAGGATTGCATATTGATAGGATTGTTTAAAAATGCATGATGGGATTGTATAAAAAATTGCATGATTAGGTTGTTTTAAGGAAAAAAACCAAAGATCATACTGTGGACTGCAAGCGGTCTTTTAAATTTTATTTAAAATGCAACATGCCTAACAAGATTTGTTACATAGCTAGATATATATAGTATAGTTGAAATATAATAATATAATTGCGGTATATTTTAAAATTCTAATATTAGCTTTAAATTCCAGACCTGTGAAATCTCAAGTTCCTAAATGCTATTTTTAAGTGAGGACTTTACTTGGTGCTGTAATTATTATAACTATTGCAAAAATATTTAGAACAACAACAAATAAAAGAATATTGCTCGAGGAAATAGAAGAAAAAGAGTTACAACTATACTAGCGTATAGTTTTTTTAAAAGGTAAAAGTATACACAAAATTATATGCTGGTAGTTATCCGATAAATTTGATTTATGTTACAGAGTCGACGACACCGGGGGGCCAGGGGGGCCTCTGACCCCGGTGTCGTCGACTTTTTTCTAAAGGAACTTTTTTTTTAGTTTTTTTGTTGTTGTTTTTTAAAAATCTTAATATAGAGGACTTTTTTCACAAATTGATGATTGTACCCCTCCACTTCAAAACCCGTGTCGTCGGCTATTTGTTATAAACAAATTCCATAAATTTTATGGGATTAAACTAGTGTTGTTACGACCTTGAAATAATTCAACTGTCGACTAAATCGACTATTATTTTTTCTAAAATTGACTAACACATTTTTGAAATCGATTAAGTCGACTAATAATCGATTTACTCAAAATATGGGAAACAAGTTTTTTTCAAAATAAATAGTAATACTCATAATAAAGTATATTTTATTCGCGTTTTATTTTTTAACATCATATTATGTCAATATCAGTGGAACAAAACAGTGGCCACTCCGATGAGGTAGACTCTATTACTAAGTCCAAATAATTTAGTTTTAAATACTTTCTAAATATTAAAAAAAAAGTCTTCGCAATTATAATGTCATTTATACAATCTGATTGTATAAATGACATTTGCATTTCAGAGCTTCACGATCCGAGACAGCTAGAACCAACTTGTATGAAAATATTTATAAAAATTACAAGCATAGAGTAAACGAATAAATAAAAAAAATTAATGAAATATATAATCAAAAGTTAGGTATAAATAAGTTTTAAATATTGTTAACATGCTATGAATTAGACTTTGAGAGTAAACAAAAAACTATAAAGCATTTGAAAGTTATTAAATGAAAAAACAAAATTGAGTATTGAAAAAATTAAATTGGATAAAAAGATATAAGGGTTTTGAGATTATTATTCGACAAATTCGACTTTTAGTCGATTAGTAGAAAATCCATAGTCGATTGAATCGAGTATTCAATTTTTCAATGTTGACTAATTTCGACTAGTCTACTATTAGTCGAAGTCGATAATAACACTAGTTTAAACACTTCGTAAAAATCTCTTTTGATCTAAAATCATGCCCAAATTAAGAAGGTTTTTTAAATTTATTTAAACAATTTAAAGCAAACCTAGTCAGCAAAATTTTAAAGAAGTTCAAAAAAGAGACTCAATTCAAATTTTGTATAAACAAGAAAAAAAAAATTAAGAAATTTATAACACAAGAAGAAGTAGTTGAATTAAACAAAAATAAATTTTCATTCATTCCATTTCATTTGAAATGAAAGTTAAAGATTTTTCAAAGATGAAAGTTTTCGAAAAAATTTCGATTTAATTTTAACCAATTCGTTATAACTAAAAATCCTAAAAAATAAAGCAGAAAACTCCATGTTAAATATCTAAAAAGTAAATCAGAAAAGCATAATAATTACTACACAAACTACAAAAATCTATTTGAAAAACTCCGCCAAAAATATTTACTACATTTTCTTGCTTAAGAAGCACGCTAAAAATATTTACTACATTGGCTTGCTTAAGAAGCAGGCCAAAAATATTTACTACATTGGCTTGCTTAAGAAGCACGCCGAAAATATTTACTACGTTGGCTTGCTTAAGAAGCACAGTTATAATCACAAATATAACCCATTCTTAACGATAACGACAGCGATTTGTTCACGAGGGTCGTAAATAGGGCATAACGGATCTGGCAAAATAGTTAGGATACGGATCCTACCTGGATTTTTAAGATTTGGACCCGGATCCGAATCCAAATCCAAGTTTAACTTAAAAACAAATAAAAAAACTATTTTACACAAGAAATTTTTATTTTTAGATATATATAACCACAGATAATCTTGTGGAATAAATAATTTGTAGCATTTCATATCAAGAAACCTATTTAAGTTCTAATTTTTACCACGTTTATTATTTTTGTAGTAACTTTTTAAAAAGCATGAGGTATCAAACTTTTTATCGAGAGATTACTGAGTTCTTAATTATTTAATTCTTGTTTTAGCTCGCCACTTTTTTCTAGCTGTGTTTTCACATCAAAATTTTCTTCTGCTTCGATTTCTAAATCATCGTTAGTATTTTCTTTACAATCTTCTTTGATTGCTTGAGGTAAAAGCATTAGTAAAAGATTTTTAGCTAACGATATAACTGCTGATTTTTTGGCTTTACTCCAAAAGCATCTGAAGTAACAGATAATAGAAAACTAGAGTTGTTTAAATATTCCATGAGGTGAATCAAATTAGAATTTCTAATGCTTAAATCTCTTGTTTTTAAAGCGCCATATAAGTTTTTGCTTATGTTAGATTCATATGATTATGGTTGACTTTAAACAAAACAAAAAACTGTTTCTGAGTTAACCAAATCTGTGTCTCGACGGCAAAGTGCTTCGGCTCCTAATTTTACAGGCTTTAAAGCCTGTAAAATTAGGAGCCTATTTTCAAATGCAATTGAAAATAGTTCAGTAGAGACTGTTTATATATATATATATATATATATATATATATATATATATATATATATATATATATATATATATATATATATATATATATATATATATATATATATATATATATATATATATATATATATATATATATATATATATATAGATGTTTTCTTTTAGCTTAAACATCTATTTTATTGACATTTTTGTGGAGCGATTAACGGTTGACTGTTTTATAATTGCTTGCGCTATTATTTTAAGTTCAGTCAATTTTAATATTCTAGGGTTACTTTTAAAACCATTTACTTAAAACCCAAAAATGGTTTTAAGTAAATGGTTTTAATGTAATTAAAACCAAATAGTTAAAACCAGTTGTTATTTTAATATAATCTTAAATCACATATTTAAAAACTAAAATTAATAAACATACTTAAATTATAATAAATAAACTATATTTATACTTTTTTTTATCTCGATAATATTATTTTTGACCATGGTTTTAGTTTCATATATATTTTTACCTGCTACCTATACATAACCATGTATGTTTATGTTTAAACATAAATATATATAATAAACTGTTCATATATAAACAGTTTATTAAATTTATACATATAGAGAGCAGTACAGGAGAAAATCTATTTTCTGTGTTTAAAGCAAAAAATTAAATCTTCAGGATTGTATTAATATAAGTAATATAAGTAATATTGTAATATAAGTAATGTATATATACATTACTTATAAGTAACCGATTAGCAAAACTCCAATAAACCGCTAAAAAATACCTATAAAGGTCCTTGGCGAATTCACTAAAACAATTTTTGCTGAGATTATTTGATAAAAGTACCTTAGTAACATGTTTACACAGTGCCGTCCCAGGAAACAACAAGTAGTCGGACGGGCAACGGACCGCTGTCAACACTTATGTTGTGTCGACGTTGGCCGCCCGCTCTGCTGCCGAGTTGGCTTGCTCATCGTATATACGTCAGTTTGTTAAAGACAAGCTGAAGACGGTTCAACAGCCATCAATAACATGTAACCCTGAAAGTAGACACTGTTGTATTATTCGAAACATAGAAATAAAGCAGATACTAGAATGATCATAATAAACCAACCTTCTCAGTCTTTAAAGACGCCTTTTGAGAGGCTTTTATCTCATTGCGAGTAGTCAGCAACCCAGCAAAAATCGTTTTAGTAGATTTTTGCTCATCCATTACTTAGTGGAGCATTTGCTCATCTGAAATTTTGCTATAGAATGTTTGATGTGAAGTAATTCCTCGACATTACATAACTTAAAAAAAGAGCTGTGGAGATACCTTTAAAAAAAACAATATAAAAGTAAAGTTGTTCATGCAAAATTACCTGATACTTGCGTTTTCTTCAAGTAAAAGACTAGATTGTTATCTCTAACCAAGGTGAGCTAACATAAGCGTAAATAACATGCGCATATCAGCGTTAGTACAAATGAAATGAAATCTAAAAACAAAAAAAAATCTAAAAAAAAAGATAATAATAATCAGAGACATAAATCACAAAATTTCAACATGCTTAGTTTTCATGGCTTAACAAAAATAGTAAAATAAAAAATAAACTTGTAGCTGAATTTTTTAAGATTTCCTTTCATCTGCTTTAGAGGTTGAACGCCAAATTAGTTTAATAACTACAATGGCATTCTTTCTATTTCAAAAATTTAGTCATCATTAAATTACACATACATTCTTTTTATTTCATACATTTTTAACTTTAAATGGTTAATATGATCAAACAGTAGACTAACTTTCCAGAACTCTAATTGTGCTGTATTTTAAAAATAACAATATTAAACTTGCATAACCATTACCACTAAAACAAAACTGATTCATAAATACATACAAACATACATACATACATTTTTTTTCAA